CATTAGTTTTGTTCGAGGGAGTTTTTGCGATAGCTTCGTCAAGGACGGCAACGTTGCAATCAAGTTTGTCTTTGTTGGCTGATAAAAGGAATCGCCTACGTACAGTTAAATTTAGTTATGTATGTTGTTAAAAAATTTAGTTTTTAGTAAAAAGATTTAGGTTTTTTCGTAAAAGGTTAATTTTTACCCTCAGTACAGCAATGAACAACTCTTCACCAGTACATTATTGGCCTTACACGTCGCGGAACCAGTAATCCCCTTTTCTTTGTGGAAGTACGGCTAGATCTAGGGGAGCGAAGCGAGCCCGAGGACTAGTCGGACAGACACAAGAAAAGGGGTATTTACTGGCGCCGCGACGTGTAATAGGGTACTCTCTGGCAAGACGTCATTCCTCCCCGCAAAAGTGACTGCTGTCACAAGAATGAAAAAATACATTGACTTCCTCTTACAAATGAAATGTGCTGTGACAAGGTGTGAAGTAAGACGAAATGTGAGAAATTGATTTGTTGGCGCCTACAGAACTTTCTGAGAAAGCGATTTCTAAAAACTTCTATAGGCGCATTTATGACGCGAAGGATACAAAACACGCCTGACGCAAGTGTGGTCGTTACCCTGGCGAGGTCTCAAGCGTTCGTTTCGCGAGGCTCTGGTGGATAAAATCGCCTGGTCTCAGACCAACAAATCAAGTGAATTCTCCAGAGCCTGACACAAGTGTGGCTTGGGTTTACTTGGCCGTGGTTTCCGATTTGCGTGGTCCCAAGCTAAAGTTGGCCTGATATGTTCCGTCGCACACTTGCGTGGACAAACTTAAATGAGAAATATTTATTATTATTATATTGATATCGTCGCAAAAGTTTCACACTCCGCGGAGGGGACCCCCCGCCGGGTCTCTCGAAGTCCCTTCGGCGTCGCACTCTGTGTTTTCTTGCTCTTTTTGCTCATTTCACTGTGAACGGGGACACCGACAGACACCTCTGGCTCAAGGGCGGCTGGAGCGGTTTTTCCGACTTTTCACAAGTAAGGGAAGTGGAGGTGGGATGACACACTCACGTCCAAAAGGCGTAACTGAAACTAGTTTTCGTTGATGGCCAGTTCCGACGTCGGTCTCATACTAGAACGCAAAGTAAGGACACAGTAGGTTTCTGCGTCTAGTAACAAAGGGTGGATTCTTCATCCACTCACATTATTCCTCCGGTTTCAACTGCAAGATCACCAACGGCCCTCGTATATTTCCTAAATAGGTGGTCAACTTTACATTGTTGCTTGCTTTAAAAGTACCACAATTCATTCTGTCAAACCTTGGAAAGTATCTAGATATCCCTGCCCTAATGCCAAAGTAAATAGCAACTGAATATGTGTCGCCGTCTGATGTGTATGTCTGGACCGCTGCGTAAAAAGGAGGGTTTCTGACCGTTACTTCTCCGCTGTTTTCTTGTCGCTCTTGTCTTGTCAGTTAGAAAAGCAAACTGCATGCACTTTGCTTTTCAGCCAAACTGTATACAGTTCAATCGAACGGACTTCTTTGTGCAGATGTGAGCATCCTTAACAATGGTCAATAAATCCCTGACAGCGGTCTGTCTGTTCTGGATTAACAACGTGTCACGTGTTCTGAATTGACCAATCAGAATCGAGTATTCAACAAATCCGTGTAATAATGTTTTTTAACGGATGTTGTCTGATTATATAATCATATGCGCGGGCCGCTAGTGTCTGTTGATCTCCAGATTAACAGCAGCATGAGAATAACCATGCTCCATGGCGGAGGCTCCGCTAGAAATTGCCGGGATTTGCGTTTTTACCCCCTTAATGTCTGACCAATGGTCTGGCATTTCCGAGCACATGACTTGTGTTTAAAGTTTGTAGTCCGTTTGAGTTTTGCCCGTGTGAACGCAAACCGAACCTTCTGAAAAATGAAACAATGTAACAAACTGTGGTCTGGTGCGCACCAGAGAGCAGACTATTAGGTGTGAATGCACCATTGAAAGCAGAGCACTCGCTGTACACACACACACACACACACACACACACACACAGAGACACACTGCCCCTGTGTGCACATAGACACTCATACTTCTCCCCTGATTACACATACAGTAGGTAGAGTACAGTAGTAATCAGTAATATTATTTTTTCTACAAGCTGGGGAGGAGTCCACCTTCCTCAGCTTCCTGAAAGGAGACCTGATCCTGTTGGACCAGGACAGTGGAGAGCAGGTCCTCAACTCTGGTTGGGCTCACGGTGTCAACGGACGGACCAATCAGAAAGGAGATTTCCCAGCTGACTGTGTCTATGTCCTGCCATGTATGACCCGACCGCAGCAGGAAATAGTGGTGAGAAAAAACACAAACAAGCTTCTGGTGTCAGAAGGAAACTCATCTTATTGCTCTGACTTCCTCCTCTCAGCTTTTACATTCTTTCATGTTATTGACACAGCTCTGTGTTCAGGATGCTGAAAGTTGATCTGCTAAATGATCCAAATCTTTGGTATGTCCAACGTTTAGTACGTGGCAAACGCTGGAATAAAACATTAGTCAGCTGATATTTAAATCTCAGTGATCTAAAACAAAGCAAAATTCCAATCTACTGCATATTTATATAATGTGTAAACCTCATTTGTGTGCTACTAAAAACTGTTTGATTATGACAAAAATACAAGACAGTATACTTATTAAAAAGTCACATTACAGTAAGTTGTTGCTCTTTTATATTAACAGAAGGGAATTTTCCCTCTGAGCTAAGATATGAAATATTTCTCTGTACTGCGTGATGAACAAAGTGAGACACAGTATTTGTATTTCTTTTTAAACTGACATTTCAAGCATTGTGAGTGATTTCCTCTGATGACATCTGACTCTTCCTTTTTGTTTAAAGACACCCAAAGTCACCCTAAATGAAATGTTCTGTCAAATTAAAGTAATCTTATATTATAATATCACACCACTCATCAGGCGCTGGTAACCATGACACCGGACCAGCGACAGGAGTCAGTTCGGGTCTCACAGATCCTCATGCCGGAGAGCGACGACAGAATGAAACCCTACACACTGGAGGAGTTCTCCTACGACTACTTCAGGCACACACACACACGCACGCACGCACGCACGCACGCACGCACGCACGCACGCACGCACGCACACACACACACACACACACACACACACACACACACACAGGGATTAAAGTATATACTGTATATATACTTATGTTGAACATCACACTCTTTTATATTCAGGGATTGTTCTGACATTTCTGAAACAACTTTTAGTATGGACACCATCATCTTGAATTATGTTCGGTTATGGAGCACCTCAGGGATCAGTGCTCAGCCTTGTATTTATTTTTGTCATCTACCTTTTAGTCAAATCATTCACAGGCATCATTTTCATTGACTTGCACAATTATATATTTGAATAATAGCACACAATTGAGAGAGATTGTGTATCTGTAAACTTCCTGTTGGTGAATTCACATAATTCAGAAGTAATCACTGCTCCAGACCATCACACAGAAAGTGTTCTGACACCTGCCACTCGCTAGTCTCACTAATCACTGTCAATTGATTAAACGTAGCAAGCCACTTGAACACAAATATACCAGTGTATGTGTTTGCCGGATCAAGACTCCAGTGTGTCTCTAGTTGTCAGATATTCCCCTCACTCGCTAAGGTAGGCAGGAAATACATCCATACATCCACTCTGCTTTCAGTCCGCCTGGTAAAGGCTGGTAGGCCAGCTGCCAACTGACAACCACTACGCAAAATGTCTTTCTTCCTATTTGTACGTTTAAAATTGTTAGCCATGTCAAACACAAATGTTTTTTTTATTTACAAGCATTTATGTTTACATGTCCCAAACGTCACTTGCTTTACCAGGCCCCCTCCCAAACACACCCTGAGCAGGGTGATGGTCACCAAGAATCGGGGGAAGGACAAGATGTGGAGCTGCACCAGAGAGCCTCTGAAGCTGCCGCTGCTGAAGAAGGTGGTGAACCACGAGGAGCTGGCCCAGGACGCCTGTATGGCCTTCATAGATATCCTTCAGATGGTTACTGTCCCCACCGTTTCAACATGCAGCTGTCTCCTGAAGCCAGGTCAACTTACTCAGGCTTCTGTCAGGCATCTTGTTCTAAATATGAGAACCCTGGATAACTCTCAACCAAGTGTACATTATTAACCCTGTGTTTATCAATTAAGCTGTCAGCTTTTACAGGTCAAAAGGCAGGTTTTTAACAAACAGTATTTTCAACTTTAAGGAGACCATAATCTTTATGCATCATTTGATATTGCTAAGTAACATACTGTATGTCTACATTTGCATATATTTAGGCTTTAACTGTAAAACTAATTTAAATAAAAAGCAGCAACCTAAGAACATATTAGAGAAATCAAATATAGAAGGTTTAAAGTGGACCTATCATGCTATATTTGGATAATATATTGTAGGGCCATACCTATATAAAACATGTCTGCGAAGTTTTTTTTTCAAAATACCAAACAGATCATGCATTTTAGCCATGCCTCATTTTGCTCTATTTGCTCTTTTTTAGCCCTGTTTTGCAAGGGCTGATTCTGTGAGAAGTCTTCTTCACTGCTTTTGTGGCAGACTACAGCGCCACCTGCAGGCCTGGCATATGTACTACAGCGTCTCCAGCGCTTTCGAACGGCAATGGCCGTGGCTGTCTCCTCCTGATAGGTGGAGAGTTGCCCATATAGGCGGAGCTTCTCATTTCTGACGTCAGAATATTTCAAATCTGTATCAGTCTGTATCAGATCCGTTGCAGCCCCGTTTTTAGAGATTTGGTTATGGAGGAAAAGAGAGAGGGTTGTGTTTTCTGACACTTGGTGAGTTCCCTGACACACCAGGGACACATATTCATGTATAAAAGACGTACAAAAGTGCATTTTGCATGATATGTCCCCTTTAAGTTAACTTTATTGAACTTCCTTTTTAAAAATCTTGAACAAAGCCTGCTGCTTACAGGTGAGGCTCACAGTGTTGGTTACAGCACGAGACTCACTTTTTTTCATGAGCACATCAATTCAAGAACTCGTAGTCCAGCGCTTGTTAGCTACTCTGAAATCCCATCAGCATCAAAGCTTGAACACGAGATTATCCTCATTATTTTCTTTACCTACTCAAACCGAACATATATAGTCAGAGTTTTTTCTATTCTGGACATTGAAGGTTAATGAACAATTAATGTAAAGACACGCTTTTGGTCTCATATGTTACCGTGTCCACATGTCCACATGAGTTCCAGTCCCTCAGGTTGCATTGCCCTTGACCTTTGTCCCACCTATGATGAAGTACATGGGCGACTACCCGTCCAAACGCTCGCGCTCCGTCAACGAGCTGACAGACCAGATCTTTGAGGGGGCGCTGAAGGCGGAGCCTCTGAAGGACGAGATCTACTGTCAGATCATCAAACAGCTCACCGACAACCACGTCAAGTGAGTGGGCCCCGACTCCATCAGTCTGTGGAGTCCTCCCTCTGCTGAGAGATAATCTAGTTCACACTAAAATACTATTAGGTTTTTTAACTACTCTTTTAACAAAAAATAATGATATTATTTAATCCACAAAATGTCACATGTTTGCCAATATTAACACAACTAATATAACGTTGTTTATAAAAAAAAAGATCCTTGGTTGTGCTAGTATCTGACCACGGACCTCTTCAACAACATTTTTAATCTTCAGCTGTTCCGTAGCACTTGGAGTCTCATCAGGTTCACAAAATGCACTGCAGAAGAACAGAGTTTGATGCATAGAGTTTTATTCTGAAAATAATGAAAACCCAGGCCAGTCTCCGGACGACCGGAACAAAGATGTGTACGTGCTTTCCTTTTTTTATAGTCTAACCCAGGCATGGGCAAACTAAGGCTTGCGGGCCATATACGGCCCGTTGGGCTTTTTAATCCGGCCCGCCGAATATTGGTACAAAATTGTCCAAATTATAGTAAAGACCGCATTAATTTTGCCTTTTCCCTGCAATACCCGGTTATCCCACTAGATGGCGCACTCTAGACACAATTGACCTTTGCTGGAGTCTGGCCCCACTCGGCAACCCGGCAAGATCTAATGGCGCATTTCCACTGCAGGGCCTCACACGGCTTAGTACGGTATAGTTAGGAATTGGTAGGCCAGGCTCACTTTATGCTGCGTTTCCATTACAGTTCAGGAACTGGGGCAGTAACTATAGTAACGTAGGCGGGGCCGTGACGTCATCTTCAATGCGAACCACAAAACCAAACATCAGCCGTTAGCTGTTAGCACACAGAGCTCACAGCTCCTCATATCTGTTCAGAAACTTGACAAAAGTTAACCTGTTAAACCTCGAGCCTGTTTTTCAGGTCTCAGGCTTGAAAATGACATTCCCAGAACAAATGACCATATCTTCCCTTCTAAAAGGGTTAAATGAATAATCTTTTTTCTCAAAGCAAGGTTACACCTGTGAGTTGGATGTAGAAGTGTCAGAATATATGTTTTTATTTTAAAGTAAATTCAGATTGAACACAGTAAAAAAATGTAAATTATTGTGTCCGTCCAAATAAAACTAATTACTTATAGTGAAAACCACCCTTGAATGATGGGATGGTGGAATAAAAACTTTAGGAATCCAAACTACAACATATAATAAGTACCCTGTATCAGGATTGATGCAAAACAAGTTAAATTTGACCTTTTTAGAGAGATTTAGCAAAAAAAAACCACTTTTGATGTGTTCTATATGTTATAACAAGAATGGTTTTGTCTTTTTGGTTAGTCTACAGATATTGTTTCTTTGTGCTTTCTTATCAATTCTATGAATTCATACACTAACTTATTTACATTAATAATGGTGACCCGACATTTCATACCATCAATACAAACACCAACTATTTGTCCACGCCGTGTTACACTTGAGAGTCATATTTGAGGTAGTTATTAGTATCTTTGTTTCCCCAGTGACATTCTTCAACCACTTCGGAGACGTACGCAAGTCTGCCCCACCACGAAGACCTGACCTCCTTCCGCGACTACACTCCGTCGGTCGTACAATGACCCCTCCTTTGTCTGCCATGTGTCGGTGTCGGTCGAGGGTCGGGAAGAGGAGTGACATGGACGTCGTTCTGTGTGAGAGTGTGAGTCGAAGACGGTGTTGTGGCTCCTGATACCCTTGGACTTACGTTGTGGTGTGTGAGTAGAAAGACTCATTATGGTTTTGTGTAGGTGAAAATTAACCATATGACAACTCAATGTCGAAAAGGAATTGCTCTACGAGACAATAATCTTTTTTACCACAATAATGTACTTATTAATGTGATAATAAATAATAATATTATATCATTTTATTCACATTACAACTCTACACATGTAACAGTCGGGGTTACTGACTCACATTGAGACAATTGTGACTGTCTTTCAACTCCCAGGTCGACCGGTCCGGCATACTTTCTCATCCCTCCTCCCCACACACACACACAACACACCACACACACACACACCACACACACACCACACACACACACACACACACACACACACACACACACACACACACACACACACACACACACACACACACACACACACACACACACACACACACACACTGTTTCTGCCGTCCCGCTTTTTGGAAAATTACTTACCTCTAGCCGATTCGATTGCAACGAGACTGGCGAGGTGTGAGTGTTGGTGCCGGATATCTCTGTATATTTATTTTGGTCGCTGACATAAGCGGTACTGTGTCTTTCAGACACCAAACATGAAAGAAAAAGTGCTGTGACACAGAGTCCCGTAGAATTATAAATTCTTGGATAATTACCACAATATGGTCTAATTGCCCTTCTTAGAGTCGATTGACTTGCTATATTTGGTAAAAATGGTTTTTGTTTTGCGTTCAGAGTATTCTTCGTAGATTTACTGGGGACTCGCTTTTTACGATTGCGTGAAACCGTGTCTTGAGTTCTATTTCCCTATGGGAATAATGAATAAAGCATCGACGTGTATGTTATATATGCTAATTTCGACTCTAAGGTGTCTAATAAATCCATATATATAGTAGGTGACCTCACTAGGCTTGGGCGCTGTCCCCTTCGTTTGTGTCTGTAGTTGGTTTGTGTATGGGAAATGCATCGAAAATGCACCTCTAGCAAGAGTGACATCGACAGTTAGACTAGTTTTCTGAACAAGTTACCGTAATTTTGCTCTTTTTGCGCCGACTTAGCCAATTAGGTATCCTAACTATTACAAGACACCTTATAAAAAAAATTTAAATATTAGGTATTAAGGTAAAAATACATTTTTTAGCCTCTCATTTCAATCCGACGATTACCATCGGTGGTCTCAATAGCGTCGAAGGCCAAAAACCGAACGCAGTCAAGAATGTATGTGTGTAATGGTTTATTCCCCATACACCCTCAAGGGTAGCTAAGGTAACCGAGATTGCCAATCTTTCTCTACAGTTAGTCGTTTTAGCTCGTCCCCCCCGGTCTGGTCCCCGGCCGGGATCTGAAAAAACCCCCGGGATTCGAGCTCGAAAAACGAACCCCCCGGTGGGAAGTGTGATGGCGCAAGAGTGCCACTACAATCGTATTCGTGTGTATATAATATATTTATTCGTATTTGTGGCTCCGGGATTTTTTAGGAGCTCCCGTAACCAAAGGGTTGGACTCTCCTCCGAGACTACCAGTCTTTTCCCCACGAGGCGGTATATACCCGTTGAGAGGTGGATAGTCCCCTTACCCCCAACCCGGGTGCCGGTAACGGCGAGCTTTCGCGACCTCTGCGACATTCATGTATACGGTCCCGGACATTCACCCGGCGACATCAGACCGGTGTTTTCTTCGCTTCTTCTGAAGCGAATTACCCAGCCCGCCTCGAGACCCCGGGTCTCTATCCCACTTTAGGTGGGTTTA